AGAGATTATGGACCTGTACTTTGAGTAAACTAAACTCACCATGACTTACGACTTATTTTAAAACAGAGGAATAATTTCCCCATAAGAAACCACTGATGCCGGGCGCGGTGGCTCAAGCCTGTAATCCCAGCACTTTGGGAGGCCGAGGCGGGTGGATCACGAGGTCAAGATCGAGACCATCCTGGTCAACATGGTGAAACCCCGTCTCTACTAAAAATACAAAAAATTAGCTGGGCATGGTGGCTCGTGCCTGTAATCCCAGCTACTCAGGAGGCTGAGGCAGGAGAATTGCCTGAACCCAGGAGGCGGAGGTTGTGGTGAGCCGAGATCGCGCCATTGCACTCCAGCCTGGGTAACAAGAGCGAAACTCCGTCTCAAAAAAAAAAAAAAAAAAAAAAAAAAAAAAAAAAAAAAAAAAGAAACCACTGATATTAAATGTACAACTGTGGTAAATTTTGAGAAATGTATGCATTTGTGAAGCACTGCTACAATCACAATGCAAGAAAATCTACATTTCTTTCACAAAGTTTTTCTTAACCCCTTTGGAGTCAGTCTTCCTGGATCCCCAGAAACTGCTGACCTGATGTTTGTCACTCTAGTTTCGTCTTTTCCAAAATGTTCTGTAAATCTCCTCATTCAATATATGGTCTTTTATGTCTGCTGTCTTTTCCTTAGCATGTGTTTGAAATTCATCCATGTTGTCATGTCCATCTGCAGTTTGCTCCTTCTTATTACTAAGCAATATTAGACTATTAATATAATACAATGTTGTTTATTCATCCACTGGTTGAGGAGCATGTAGGATCTTTCCTGTTTTAATTATTATGAATAAAGCAGCTATAAAAATCCAAGTACAAACACTTGTACGGACATGTTTCCATTTATTCTGAGTAAATATCTAGGAATGTGACTGCTAGATTGTACAGTACATTCACGTTAAATTTACAAGAAACTGCCAAACTGATTTCAGAAGTGACTGTGACATTTTTCATTTCCATTAAGAATGTATGAGAGTTTTGGTGGCTCCAAATCTTTACCAACACTTGGCATTACCAGTTTATCAAGTTCAGGCATTCTAGTGGATGTATAATGACAAGTCATTTAATATTAGGAAGAGTCTTTTTAAAACATTTACCTTTAAAAAATTGGATTGTTTTCCCACTTATTACTGAGTTACATAGGTTCTTATTATACTTTGGATGTAAGTAATTTTTCCGAATCTAGGAAGAAAAAGCTACTAACGCTAATAAATTAGTTAAGAGAGACTGTAGAATCTAAGGTCAGTATACAAAAATAATTACATTTCTATATACTATGACAAACAATTAGATATTGAAAAATACGTCCTTTATAATAGCATCAACAATATCAAACAGGAATAAATTCCACAAAATATATGCAAGACTTGTGCACAAAAAATTATAAAACAATTCTAAAAGAAACTAAAGAAGACTAAGATAAACAGAGATATACTGTGTTCATTGTATGGAGGCCTCAATATAATTAAGATGTCATTTTGCCCACAGTGATCTACTGAGTCAATGAAATCTCAATAGAAATCTTAGGCTTTCTTGTTGAAAATTAAAAAGCTTATTTTAAAAGTTTTTATGAAAATGCAAAGAACCAAAACACTTTTGAAAAAGAATAAAATTGGGAGAATTTTACAATTGAATTTTAAGACTTACTCTAAAGCTACAATAAAGAAAACCACATGATATTGATGTAAGGATTTACAGATCAATCAAACAGAAGTCTGGAAATAAACTCACATATACATGGTCAATTGATTTTCAGTAAAGATGCCAAGGTAACTCAAGGGAAAAATGGTAGTTTTTCAACATATTCTGCTGAAACTATTAGGTATCGATTTGCAAAAGCAAATCCTTACTTCATACCACATACAAAAATTAGCAGAGCACAGATCTGTATTTAAGTGAAAACCATAAAACTAACACAAGAAAATGCAGGATCTGGGTTAGGAAAAGCTTTCTTAGGAGAGAAAATGCAATTTATTAAATTGGATTGTAGGAAAATTAAGAACTTGCTTTTTAGAAGACACTGTTAATGAAATGAAAATTCATTTAATGGACTGGGAGAAAACATCTGACAAATGTCTTTTAATGCTCATGTTTTCAGTATTTCTTTGCCTTGTTTCTGTTATTTCCTCTACCTAGTGTGCCCTTTTCCCTGGTGTTGGCATGAAGAGCTCTTATTTCTCTTGGAGAATGGATAAACTTGGACATTAGATCATCACTTTGTTGAAGAAAGCGTCCCAGACCCTCCAACTCTTCAGGTTCTGGACTGCTCTCATCATCTATCAGACTGTACCTTTCTGATCAATTTGCATGTTTGTTTTCTATAATAAACAGTTAGTTCCTTAAGGGAAAAGAAATTTTTTTTTTTTATGCTTTCCCAGGTTCTTGGCCTGAAGAGCGCTCACATTTTCCATATCCCTCCCTGCAACACTGTCCTCTCTCAACTACAACAAATTTTATTACTGCTTCTCCTTCCAGATAAAGCTCTATATCCTTCCACCTCATTGCTGCTAACCTTCTTGAATTCATTCCCCACCTATTCTACTTCACGGCACCCATTTTTCCTTCAACCCACAGCAGTTTGGTTTTTTGCTCCTGAACTACTTTCTGTGGAAACTCCTCTCAGATTTTCATTGAATTTCTGTCAGTTTCGCAGAGCACTCTATTCCTCACCTTACTTGACTTTCTTGGAGCTTTATAATTTGGCTCCCTATTATATTGTGAAGCCTTTGAGTGAAGGGGTCCTTCTTTATTTGACTTGGTGGATAAATAGTTGGAGCGCATCCATACAAAGAGAACAAACAGATAGAAAACAGCATGACAAAACAACAACAACAACAACAACAACAACAACAACAACAACAACAACAACAGAGAAATAAGAGAAGTCCAGGGAGCATGGAGTCATAGGGTACCTTCCAGGAGGGAATGGCAGGCATTCATCTGTGCCCTCACTCAGCGAGCCATCCATTCGACAAACACTACTTGAGTGTTAACTTTATGCCAGACATGGTGTTAGACTCCAAGTCCACAAACACTTTTCTACACCGTCTCCTGTATGACCATTTGCTGCCATAACTCCAACTCCAACTCATTTTCCAATACCTCCCAATTCTGTCTCTTTTCTATCTTCTGAGTCCCAGGTACCAATTCCTCCTATCATTCTCATCTTAACTGCCATTGCCTTTGTGGAATCTCTCCTGCTCCAACCAACCTGAGCTCTCACCTTTCTTATTCACTGGCATGCTTGCTGGTGATCCTTTGATGGGACTTCTCATATTTCACCCTGCACTACAGTTATATATTTTTTATTCTATCTTTTCCCTCCCTTTCTTTCTTTTATTTTTAGAAGCAAGATCTGACTGTCACCCAGGCTGTAGTACAGTGAGTTAGGTCACGGCTCAGTGCACCTTGACCTCTTGGGCCTAAGCCATCTTCCCACATTGACTTCCCCAGAAGCTGAGACCACAGGTGTGCACCACCATGCCAAGCTATTTTTTAAAAATTTTTTATAGAGATTGGTGGTGGTGGAGGGGAGTCTCCACATGTTGCCCAGGATGGTCTCGAACTCCTGGGTTCAAGCGATCCCACCTTGGCCTCCCAAAGTGCTGAAATTACAGGCATGAGCTACTGCACCCAGCCTCCTTTTTCAACCAGACAAAAAATTTCAGGGGAAGTATTACTATGTCCAGTTCATCTCTGAGCTCCCTGCAATGCCTAGAACAACTTGAAAATAACAAGTACTCAATAATTATTTGTTTACTTGAGTTGAGTTAAAATAAATTCAAACAGCTTTCTCCTCATAACATGTTAACAAAATAATTATAGCAAGGACATACACAATCACAGTAAGCAGTAGAGCCAGGATTTGAATACAGACAGTTTACTATGCTTTAAACTCCTAGATCTGGTTGCCTTGACAGCAGACAGAATATGTATTGCAAACTTGTTGGTCCAGCTATGGAACTTCACTCTAACTGCAGAAACATAAAAATTGTCCTGAAGAAACCTAACATTTTCTCTGATAGTGTGTGAGAAAAAAAAAAAAAAAAAAAAAAAAAAACAAAAACGTTTTTATTGTGACATTAGTTTCAAGGAGTAGGAACATATATAAGAGCATTCCTTTCGTGAATTTATGACGACCTTATCATCTATTTGCTAGTTTAATTCTTTCAGGATGTACATGTACAAATGTATAAACATGTAGATGTAAACTTACTGTCTGCTGTTAGAGTGTGTGTCCCCCACTTGAAGATCTAGCCAATAGCTCTGAAATCGACCCAATCTGGGTGTAAATACAAGCTGTGCTTTTGTTCAGGCTTTGGGGAGTGAATCTGGCTTTCTGATCCTCAGTTTCCTCATCTATAAGACAAGGATGCTAGTAAGAGTGCGATGCATACCTCATGATAGGAAGATCCACAAGTGGCTCAAAGGTAGCAAGGATGTGCTGTATGAAAAGCTAAAGATGTAGGATTTGTAATAAGCTTGGGTTGGAGATCGGATCTTTATTCTGGGCCTATGGGCTTCAACAAGCAGGAGGAAGTAAGGGCATAGCAAAACATTCTTCATTGTTGAGACTTGAAATCCAATAAAGGAGTCTGAAATTAACGTCAACTTCATTAGTTCCCACATAAAGTAACCACTTGTTCTAATTGGAAGCATTATGTTTATTCATTTATAGAATATGTATCCCTTTAAAGTCCCTATCACCAGATACGGTTAGGTTATGAGGCAGTGGGGATTAGAACTTCAGCATATAAAGTTTGGGAAGACAATTCGGCTCATAACATATAGGGGTATACACAGATAAACACATACTTACTGAACAGTAGATGCATGTTACAGAAACAAACCAAGTAGGATAAACCCCAATCATTAACAATGTTTACTTCTAGAGTTGGGATGGAATGAATAGAGAATATTTGATTTCTTTTCCAATTTTAAAAGGTCTGGAATGATGGTCTTCCATGTTTCCCTATTCACAATCCAGACGAAGCATGGGGCCTGGGCTGAAATGCACAGGGGATAGGTTTCTTTCTTTCTCTTTTTACACAGTCAGTGTAAGAACACAGCTGTGTTAAATACCAGGAGGCTATTCTGGAATTATTATTTGTTCTTTATTCCTTTTTAAGTTTTTCAGGATTTTCAAATAATAATAAAGATAATAGAAATATCACCTACAGAAAACATATCATCAGAGGCACACACTGCCCAGATGCTAGCCAATACTGCTCCTACTCTTGTGCAAACAAGAAAGTTACATTTCCCAGCCTTGTAGTTAGTTACCTTGGATGATTTGACTGAATTTTGATCAAAGAAATATAGGTGGAAGAAAATAAGCCACTTCAAGTCTTGGCCTTAAAACATCTCTTGCTATTTTCCTGAGGTTGTCTCCCTCTCTTCTTGACAGCTTATTGAATCAGAGGATCTAGTGAAGGAACTCTGAGCCCATTCTCTGAGGTGGCAGAGGCACATGGCAGAAGAAGCTGGGGTTCCTGAGTCACCACATGGAGGAGAGCTATCCAAGATAGCCTGATTTATATATGACTTTGTGTTAAGTCACTGTGTTTTAGGGTTATCTGTTCCAGCAACCAACATTAATTACTACAACAAATATATCACCAGTACTAGCTCCTTTCTATGAAGTAAATATCATCCATTAAAATGAAATATGTACATACCCTTCCAACTAGAAATTACCCTTCTAGGAAACAAAGCTTTACAATTAAAATTATGAGTATTCAAACAAGTGTTTGTAACGATGTGCTTGCCATGGGAAAAAAAAGTCAACTGTATTTTCATCCACAGGTAAATGGTTCAACAAATTATGGCATAATGATTTATTAAATCCTATGCAGCCATAAAAAAGAATAATCTAGCTATAGGTACTGACTGGATAGATACTGATCACATCAAGTTATTTACATAACAAACCTGGAGGTACATATCTATAACATGATTTGTTTTTATAAAAGTTAGATGTATAAATATGCATAAACTTAAAGATTAGGGTGTATAATGTAAACAACTTTATTTTAAATAATTACGTTAGGTAGATAGATTTCAAAAATCACTTCAATTCTTCACTTTTTAAAAATTTATGTTCCTTGCAATACAACTTTGCAGTTTCTTCTAGCAAGAGGCGGAATCCATTCTCTGATTACTTAAGTCTAGATTCATATTGGAATTTGCTTTTGACAATAGAAAATGATGGAAACTATGCCAGTTTTAAGCCTAGAACTCAAGAGTTTATTTCTATTTCTACACAGTCAGTGTAAGAATACAGCTGTGTTAAATACCAGGCTGTGTTAAATACCAGTTCTAGGCTTAGAACTAAGCTAACTAAACTAACTATTCTCTTTTTTTGAGCTCTGTCACCACTATAAGAGCAAGCATATACTAGCACTAATGAAAGAAACCAGCCAAGTTCACAAAGTTGCCTGTGGATACACAAGCAACCCCAGCTGGGACCAGAAGGGCTGCCATCTTGCAGACCATTCACCTTCCATCCTTCTTGTCCTTCTTCCCTCCTTCCTTCCCTTTCTTCTTTTTGGCTTTCTTTTTCCTCTCTCTCTTTCAGCAAATCTAAGATTTAGTGGTGTAGGGTACTCGGATCGACCATCACATCTACTGTATTAGGCCCGTAGTGATGGAGATTAGGAAAGACACTTCTTAGCTCTGGCAACCTGCAAAGTAAATGAAGCCTTCATATAGCCAGTGCACTCGGAAAGTAGTGCAAAAATTATCATCACAGAACAAAATTATTCCCTAAATAAAACTGTTTCTTAATATACAGTCTACTTTCTTCTGTATTAAATGTCACCTGCTTCTATTTTTTTAAATGGAAATGTGTGTGTGCATGCATGTGTGTATACACACCCCCTCACAACACCTCCAAATTTTATATTGTATATTATATGTACATATATAGTACATACATAATGTTCATACATAAACCATGTCATACATTTTATATCATACATAGTATATATTGTAGATGTATATATACACTTATGTTTTGATATGTTATATATTTATGTTTTACATTATATGATATACACTTACATTTTCATATTTGGTAAATATTTCTATATTATATAAACTTATATTTTTACATATGTTTACATTATACATAAAATCATATGTAATGTAAACATATGTTTATTATTACATTGGCACAAACGTGATTGCAGTTTCTGCCATTACTTTTTTTTTTGAGATGGAGTCTCACTCTGTCACTCAGGCTGGAGTGCAGTGGCACGATCTCAACACACTGCAACCTCTGCCTCCCGGGTTTAAGTTATTTTCCTGCCTTAGCTTCCCGAGTAGCTGGTATTACAGGCACACACCACTATGCTCTGCTGATGTTTGTATTTGTAGTAGAGATGGGGTTTCACCATGTTGGCCAGGCTGATCATGAACTCCTGGCCTCAGGTGATCTGCCCACCTCTGCCTTCCAAAGTACTTGGATTACAGGGCCACCACTCCTGGCCCTTTGCCCATTATTATTATTATTATTATTATTTTATTTTATTTTTTTTGAGACGGAGTTTCGCTCTTGTTACCCAGGCTGGAGTGCAATGGTGCGATCTCGGCTCACCGCAACCTCCGCCTCCTGGGCTCAGGCAATTCTCCTGCCTCAGCCTCCTAAGTAGCTGGGATTACAGGCACGAGCCACCACGCCCAGCTAGTTTTTTGTATTTTTAGTAGAGACGGGGTGTCACCATGTTGACCAGGATGGTCTCGATCTCTCGACCTCGTGATCCACCCACCTTGGCCTCCCAAAATGCTGGGATTACAGGCTTGAGCCACTGCGCCCGACCCCCTGCCCATTATTTTTAATGTCAAAAACTGCACTTACTGAATACATCTCTACATTTATATATACTACATAATATTAAAATATAAATGAATCCTATATAATATAAATATATAGATTTTTTCCTATTAGTCCTTTAATATTGGTTACTCAGACAAATGAGTTGTGTGAATACATTTTTATCCTCGCCTGCATACAGGGCCTCTGTGGAAATAAAGGGAATGAAGGGGAATAAAACTGTTTATCTGGGGTTTGAAGGGCCATCCTGGTGGGGGTATCACCCAATTTCATTGAGATGGCCACATTTTCCCATGAGCAGCCTTTGCTAGGATAATAAATTCTCATGAATAGTTACAACAGTGTAACAGAAAGACAAATAAATGGCTGTTTCAAGGGAGGCATCATACGGGAAGAATTTTTAAAGAATGCATCATATGAATGTTATAAATAAAACATAAATGGAACTAAGAGAAAAGCTGATGATTTTTATCAGTTGCATTAAGTTGTAACAGTTCATTAAATACTATCTCAGCTTTCCTTTACGTGACAATTAGTGGATTTTCTCCCAGCAGCAATGGAAACAAGACTGGTGTTGAGCAAGATGCAGGCACCGCAAACAGTAAGTGCTGAACGGTTCCAAAACAGCCCTGGGGTGGAAGAACAATATTAATTGTAAAATAGTCAAATTAAAAATCATTTAAAGTTAAATTTCAATATGGTATTTTCCTTTCCAAGAGAAAGCATGAAATTACATTAAGGCTCATTCTGATTACTCCAGACAGTGAAATAAGGATCTTTTCTTTGGTACAGCAGTGTGTTTGCTGAGCAGAAGCCTTCATTTGCCGCTACATTTCTCTGCAGCAGTACATAATTGTTGCTTTGTATGCCAGTTATTCCATACATATTGAAGTATGCCAAGCGGGTGAGCTAATCCTTCGGTTTAAGACAGTGCTATGCTTAGAGTAAGATTCACAAATATTTTGAGTGAAGAAATGAACAAAGCTCCAAACTGGATGATTAAAATGACCTGATATTCTTACAAGGGAATTGGTTAAACATAAAACACACTCAGTTAATGTTCAACCTCATGAGTAATCAGGAAATGCACATTAAATCATCTATGATACATCACTTTTCACCTAACACACTGCAGTGAATTGTAAATTGCTACAACCTTTCTAGAAAGCAATTTGGCAAAATATATCAAGAGCTCAAAAGAGTTCATACCCTTTGTCAGGATAATAACACATCCAAGAATCTATTCTAAGGAAATAATCAGTGGCACAAAGATTTTTGTACATCTTCTTGTAGTTGTAGCACTGTTTATAATTATAAAGATATTATGATTTTGAAATAATGTCTGAAAATAGAATTGCTGCATTTCTGTGATTAAAGGTCTATGATTAAATGCTGCAACACCAGTAATAATCACATGTTTGAAGAACATTTAATCACATGCAGAAACGTTCAAGTTCAGTTTTGTATTCTGGTTGTGTATATGTGAAAGAGGGGGAGATAAGGAAATGCTTAGAAAACTCCTCTTGGTATAGAAAAAAAAAAAAGGCAGCTGTGTAAAATACACAAACAGAAATATTTGTAATGCATGATGGAGCTTCTGACAAGGAAAGAGAATTCCTTAGAGGTTTAAAAGGGCAAGAAAAGCAGAAATTATGGGGCAAGTAAGCACAGGAGTTAGTATTTTACCTGGGGGATGCCTTGAGTGGGTTTAACAAGTCCTGCGTAGGGTATAGGAAATACTGTGCTGATGGGATAAGAGTCAAATCAGAGACCCTCATATAAAGAGTAGAAGTGCTACAGGGCAACACCCACCCTAGGTAGCAGAGGGAAAACACTCCACCGAGAGATGGTGGAGTTTATGTTTATCTTATCTTTGAGTCTGAGTAAAGAAGAAGAAAAACGGAAGAAAAAACTATTTCCCCGGGTGAAGGTATAAACTTTGCTTACGCTTATCTGAAGTTGAGGCCTGTGTTTCTATTACATGTAAGTCAGTCTCCAAACTCCCAAGACAGAAATCTGGTTGAAGTGTTACAGGTTTGTAAATGCCCTCAAAGCCCAGTGTTTTGTTTGCTGGCTCTTCACTCTGTCATGAGGGAGGGTTTCCCAACCTAGGCACATGGGGATGGCTGAACGCACCGCACTCCACCGTGGACGGAAGAGGAAGACCTCGCGCCCTGCGGGGTGACACGGGGGTTGCCCTTGCAGAGTGAACACAGAGAGGCTGTGGGAGGCAGTCTGCAGAATGAAGAGGATGAGG